AGTGAAAAACTCGGATTTCACTCTAATTATGTAATCAAGCCAAATCCGGGTGTAAACGCGGAAAACCGGGTTTTTCAAAACCGGGTTGAAAATAAAAATAAAAATAAAAATCCAATTTAAGGATTATTAAGGTACTGGATTATTAAAACCAGCATTTTAGATGATTTTAAAAATTATCCTTAACCTCCATAGCCCCATGAAAAAGGAGAAATGAAACCGGGTTTTTATGCGGAAAACCGGGTGTGGGGAACCGGGTTTAAACGCGGAAAACCCGGGTACGTTTATTAATCCCCTATTTTTAAGGTTCTGAAAACCCTTGGAAAAGGTGGCCAGGAACCGGGTTTCAACGCGGTAAAGCGGGTACGGCGGGGACGTTGAGATGACGGCGAAACCGGGTTTAAACGCGGAAAACCCGGGTACGTTTATTAATCCCCTTTTTTTTTCTTTTTTCTTTTTTTTTTTTTTTTTTTTTTTTTCTTTTCTTTTTTTCTTTTTTTCATTGCCACACACTCTTATGGACATCAACAACAAATTACAAGTATAAAAGAACTTTACCCAAGAAGGCTATTTGCTCTCCTCCAAAGATCTCTGCAAGATTTTCTGGGTGATCAAGAACATTCAAATTTCATTGTGGCTCAATCCTCCATCACCCATCTTTGGCAATGCTACGTCAACTGGGAAAGTTTTCTCAGGGGATTGGATTTCTTTCTTTACAATCTTCATGCCTTTTGAAATTGTTGAGTCAATTGGAAAAATCAAAGCAAACTAGTTGTTTTTGGGTATCACTTGGTAATTCTCACCAAAATTGCCACATATTATACAATTGATTGGCAGCTGACTACAAGTTTTTGAAACATCATTTCTGTTGAATCTATTCAATTTGTGTGATCTCAGCCTGGACAAACTTGCCCAGAATCCTCCTCCTTTATTCACAGCTTGAAAGATCATCGAACTGAACATTTATTGATAATAATGGATTACCAATGATAAACAAAGAAATAACATTTTATTTAACTATTCTTAAGCAAAAAATGAACCTCATTTATCCATAGCAGAGAAGCTGGCGATTTGGGTTTGAAGGGTTTCGATCTCCTTTTGATAGTTCAATAACTGATGGAGAGAGACGAGAGAAAGCCGAAAAAAACATCATTAATCAATTAGTCTTGCTTTCCCATCCTGAAGAAAAAAACAAAAGTGTTTGAAAAGTCGTACCATCTTTGAATTTGATTCTTTAACATCATCGGGGATTTTGCTTTCGTATTCGGGCAGTTTCATTTGTTTCTCGAGTTTTTCCACTGACATTTCGATCGCTAGAATCCTTTTTTCAGCTTTGGTAATTTCGTTTTTGAGATTCAATACCCCCTGTTATCACATCATGCAAACGGACCGGACGTCAGCCAGGGGTCCAAACTAAGTGTTTGGGTGAAGTAGCTACATACTGCAACGAGAAGGTGGGCCGTAACATTGCTATTTATAGACTCTGCAAGACACCCAGCTGGTATATCTTTAGTGTCGGTGACTACAACTACCGCCGTACATCCCTTGATTAACGTCTGGATTGTTGGAATTTGAGTTTCTAACAGCTTTGCGCTATCTTGGTCTAACGAGCAGACGGTTACTGATATAATGTGGCTACTGGATTAGCCTCTGAGCAGAACGGCGGGTACCTGAAAATCATCAAGTTGGAACACCAACCTTGGAGATTTGTCCGCAAGCCATATGGGGCTGCGATCGACCTGACAGCTTTGACCGCAGCAAACACCGTGTCGAAGTCTTCTAAGGCTTTAGCAGCTTCAAATACTGGTCTGTGGGTGGGGAAAGCCGCTTTGCAGATAGACGGTGTGGCATCCTCTGGCCGGCGGGGCAGTCTCTGCCAGAGTTCTTCTGTCACAAATGGCATAAAAGGATGGAGGAGCCTCAAGCCTTCATCCAAACATGTGTACAGTGTGTTCTGAGCTGAAACCTTGTTCTCGATCGGGGTGTCTGGTGCAGTCATAGGCTTCATAGCTTCCTAAAAGAGTTGATATAAGTTAACATCGTGTAAAAGGTCCTTGGCTGCGGGTCAGACAAAGAAATATAACAGCTTACAATGTAGACGTCACACAAGTCGTAAAGCCAAAATTCATGGACCGCAGAGGTGGCTGCCATGAACGAGCGGTCTTCTAGAGCTTTGTTGACATTCAGACTGCATTCATTTAGCTTGTGCAGAATCCACTTTTCGACTAGAGTCTCCTTTCCATTGGGCTATTTTCATCGATTTGATACTCCAAATTAACAATTACGCAAGAGAATATATATAAAAATGAGTGCAATCACTCACATCAGCCGAGGATCGAGGAGTGAAGCCATCATCTAGTTTCAATAGAGCGAATCTGGTCGCGTTCCAGAGCTTGTTACTTAAATGGACAGATGCGCGTTAATTGTTGTTGCTTGAAGTGAGTGAGTAATAGTAGCTAACCAGAATTTCCGATAACCTTCAACACGAAGAACATCGAGATTGATTGAGCGGCCTAACGTTGTAGGAAATAGTAATGTCAGCGTTCAAAACAAATCAACACGTTTGTAATTCTTTGTTTGCTAACCAGAAGATGTATAAGCGCAGAGCGCAAATCGTAAGGCATCAGCACCACAAGGTGGGATTCCGTTAGTTTTACCAAAATCTGCCTTTTGACCAGCGAGAGCGGTTTTCAATTCCTTTTCATCGAGATTTCCGGTTTGCAATTGATTAGCCAGCGCATCAAGTGTAATTCCATCGATCACATCGATCGGATCGATCACGTTTCCTTTACTTTTCGACATCTTCCTTCCGTGAGCATCCCGAATCATCGCATGACAAAACACTTCACTGAACGGCATTTTCCCGGTAAGTTTGACACCAAGAATCGTCATTTTGGCTACCCAAAAGAAGATGATATCCCAGCCGGTTTCTAGAAGTGAGGAAGGATAAAATTTCTCCAGATCGGGCGTCTTTGCAAATACGTGAAAAGTGGTTGTTATTATTATATCACCAACTCAGAGACTGGAAGGGGAAGACATACCTTGTCTGGCCATCCCATGATTGAAAATGGCCACAATCCAGATGAAAACCACGTATCAAGCACGTCATCATCTTGTCGCAGGGTGAACTTTTCATTGGGGAACCGCTGTTGAGCTTTGTTCTGTGCCTCTTCAAGAGTACGTCCCGCGACCCAAAAGTCACCATTGGTTTCCTGTGCGCGGGATGTCAAAAAATCAGCACCACAGGAGTAATAAAAATTAAAAATATTCAGTCTTTCGAGAATCCTACATCTTGTATTTGACCTTCGATGTTGATGAAGTACGCAGGACATCTGTGACCCCACCAAAGCTGCCGGGAGATACACCAGTCGCGCATACCTTCCAACCAGCTGTACCATTCTTTTTCCGTAGCCTTGGGTGCAATCTTGATTTCGCCAGCTCTGGCTCGCTGTCAGATTTAAACCAAAAAAACATTAAGTTCGCAAGTAGACAAAGCAAGCAGGAGCGAGATGATGGAATACCTTGAGTGTCTCTTGGGAAAGTTCCTTGCAGTTGAGCCACCATTGTGGTTTGATAAGTGGTTCGATGAAATCGCCACTCTTGGAGCAAACAGGGATTTGCATCACACCATTGTCCTTCGTCTCGATCCAGAGTCCTTTGGCCTTCAGTGCTTCAACCACAGCCTTTCTGGCGGCAAATCTCTTCATACCTTGGAATTCAGGGCCTGCATTGGCGTTCATGGTACCATCGTCATTGAGTACATTGATCATTTCTAGTTGATGTCTCAATCCAACTTCGTAGTCTTCAAACGAATGGGCAGGTGTGATTTTGACAGCTCCTGTTCCCTTTTCCGGATCAGCTATTTCATCGCCAACGATAATCATCCTTCGTGTTGGGATTAATGGATGTAAGGGGCGCTTCCCAATCAAATGCTGGATGGTAATTCGAAAGTCAACAAGGGTGACATGAGAGGTCAGATCATCAGGGAACTCACTTTGTATCGGGGATCATCTGGGTGTACAGCGATAGCCACGTCACCTAGCATGGTCTCAGGCCGAGTGGTACCGACAGTAATGCGCTCGTCTAGAGGTATGAAGGCTTCGATAAATTATACATTGAGCTCAATCGACAGATACGGACGTACCTGTTCCTTCGATCTCCCAAGCAAAGTAAACCATCACGCCAAATTCAAATTTTTCGCGAACATCGTACCCTGGGACGCTCAACAATGTCCTTCCTTTGATTTCCATTTGGTCAACCTTGTGGGGCGAAAGGACGATCATTTAGCTTCTTGGTAGAAATTCTTAACGTCTTTAAGTAATTGCCAAGCTCACCTCCTCATTTGAAAGAGCAGTGTTTAATCGAACACACCAGTTGACCAGTCGATTAGACCTGTAAATGACGCCTTCATCGTGAAGCCGAACAAACGCTTCGACAACAGCTTTGGATAGTTGCTGATCATGAAGGGAGCCAATCGTTTAGGGTAAGCCAACAAGTCGGGCTGGGTTTGGAATTTGATTTGTTGATTTACCGGATCCATGGTAAACCGAGCCCTCCCCCAATCGTACGAAGCGCCTAGACGATTGAGTTGATTGGTAATTCGTGCTTGATAGCTAGATTAGAGGAAAGATCAGTTATAAATACTTGTTTTGAAAATGATTTGATTTGATTGATCACAGATGACTGACTCATCCTTCCAAGAGAACACAGTCTCCAAAAACTTCTCTCGTCCAAGGTCATGCCGTGTCTGACCAGTTGCTTTGAACAAACGCTTCTCGACGACCGATTGAGTCGAGATTCCAGCATGATCGAATCCGGGGTTAAAAAGAACGGTCTTGCCCAACATTCGGTTCCTGAAAGATGGTCGAATTTCAAAACCATCAGAGGTGTGAGAATAGGAACCAGCTGAAGTGATACATAAAAAAAGAAGAAAAAACTCTATCGACATACCAACGAACGAGGGTATCTTGAATCGCAATTGTTAAGGCGTGACCGATGTGTAGGCTTCCGGTGACGTTAGGAGGGGGAGCTGGGACGACGAAGACGCCGGCGGGTAGGATCTTGCCATCGGGGCCGAATTCGGGCTCGAAGAATCCGGATTTGACCCACCAAGAATACCATGCTGACTCGACGGCTGGTGGATGATATCCGCTGGCCATTGGCTCACTCATATCTAAGGAGTTGTAGAGAGTCAGCAGGCGATTTTGATCGGTCGACTGATGATGATGATGATATTTGGCTTGGTTGATTGACCTTTCTTATCACCCTCGGGAACATTATTCACGAAGATGGGTTCGATCACCTTCGTTTCGGCTTTCTCCTTCTTGGCGGCTGCTCGACTACCCGATCCTGCCTTGTTGGCCTGGAGGTTGGCTTGTACATCGGTTAAGGAGATCTATGACGGTAGAGATATATATTTTTTTGTGATCAACTGACTTCTGGTGTTTGTCGGACGCCTTTAGCAGCTCTGAGAGCGGCTCGCTGAGCTTCCTTGGCCGCACGTTTCACTATAGGTTTTCAATATAAGATCAGTTGCAGGGCTAGTTTTTGAGGATGTCAAGTGAGAGAAAGGTGGCCTACATGCGCTTTTCGATATTTCTTCCTGGGGGGCAGCAGCCGGCGTTTCGTTGGGTTCGTGATCGGGCGTCATGTTCCTTATCTGGCGGAGTTGCGGTCTGAAGGCTGAGTGGATGAAGGCTCGATAGTTGGTTGGTCGACGAAACATACAATGCCATCGACTGCCGAGCTGGTGGTGGTGAGCTTCGAGTTGAGAAAAAACCTTCAAGAGAGAGGGTCGAGAATGAAACCCCGACTGCGGCGTCTCCCCCTCGAAAAAAAAAGATACATATTATTCAACTAGTATGTAGAAGCGAAACCGATTGCGCTCAACTCATTTCTCCCATCCTCTTCTTTGTAACTTACCAAGCCACTAATTATGAGCACAGCCATCCCCACACCCACCGTCAGCCAATCCAATCAAGCCAACGACCAGCCACCGAACGAATTGAAGAAACGCCGACTGACTTACATCATACCCACTACGAGCACCCATCAACGATCGACTGAGCTTACTTAGGATAGCAGAGAACAGCAAGAAGAACCCCTCCGCATTTCATCACTCCCCACTCATCCTGCCCAAGAATCCGATCGAGAGCAGTCCAACCGGCGCTACTACTACTAAGCCAATCAGTCAGCCAGCCGATCACCAGCATCCCACCCACTCCCTCGGCATCAACTCACTCCTCATCGATCTCACCACGCCCATCAAGCACCACGACCATCCGAATGGGATCCTCTACTCGGCCGGGAAGGATGGGCTGATTGCCGCCTGGGAACTCAACCTGCCCACCAGGAGCACTGCCAAGAAGCCCAGCGGACACCACCCCCGATTTCAGGTCGACCAGCCCAAGCTAGCCAATCACGTGCGTCACTCTCAGAGCTTACCCTGGCGAGTGAGTACTGGTGAACATGTTGATGCTGATCTGGTACTGTATAAATACAGCTCCCTCCGACCACCTTCCGACAGTGTATCCAGTCTCACACTGACTGGATCAACGACATCATCCTCTGTAACCATAATCAAACCCGTCCGTCCTCCTGCCCAGATCATCTTCAAAACTTATATCTCATTGAAATGAAATCAGCATGCTCATCAACAGTATATACTCATCACAGTCATCTCAGCCTCATCCGATCGGACCGTCAAGGCCTGGTCTCCTCACTCCCCTCAGAACGCACTCTGTCCAACGACCATCGGAACCCACGACGACTACGTCAAATGTCTGGCCCACAGCCCATCCTCCGCCTGGGTGGCCAGCGCAGGCCTCGACCGAAGGATCCTGCTATGGGACACCGCCGAATCCAGACCCAATCCACTCGGTCTGTCCTCTATCTATCTCTCAATCTGTTCATCCATCAGCGTACTCATCAAGCAACACGTGCTAACCCCAGCATGCTTATACAGTCAGATTCTCAGAGAATACCGTCGGCACGTCAATCTACTCCCTAGCCGCCACCCCAACCGGCCAACTTCTTGCTGCTGGCTCCCCCGCACAGGCTATCGGACTCTACGACCCTCGACTATGCTCTCAGGTGGCCAGGCTAGTAGGCCACACAGATAATGTCCGATCGATCCTCCTCTCCGACGATGGCAGTCGTCTGCTCTCGGCCTCGAGCGATGCGACCGTCAAGATGTGGGACGTGCGCATCCAACGCTGTCTTCACACCTTCTCCCACCATTCAACCTCTGTCTGGGCCCTCCACAGCCAACATCCTAGGCTTCAATTGTTTCATTCGGGCGATCGCGCTGGTTGGCTTTGCAAGGTCGATCTCGAAGGGTCTGAGGATTTCCGCGAGGGTGAATGTGTCGTGCTCGGTCAAGCTGGTCGTCATGATCAGGAGAACCCAGATCCATTCAACAGCTCTAAAGCCAACCAAGCCATCACCAAGATCGTCGGACTGGATAACGCATTCGTCTGGACGGCGACCGGTAGCTCAACCATCGAACGTTGGAGGGATATCCCAACTCGCGCCCAACGCCGCCAGCTGCTGGCTGGTTCCACACATCATCCATCATCGCTCGATCCGTCTCATTCTCCTCCAACTTCCCACATTTCAGATTCTCATCCTCAATCTCAGTCAAAAGTCTCCCCCGCTCCACCAACAGATCATCTACCCCCACTTCCTCTACGTTCTCCTCAATCCGTCTCCTTCAATCTTGAGCTGTCTCCTTCAACCCTCATCACTACCACTCATCCACCGAGCTCCTCTTCCTCTCTTTCTCCAGACCTACCGCGATCCTCACCAGCTTCGATCATTCAGCAAAGTCCCAATCGTCCTTCTGATACTCGCCTGCCCAGTCAGGCCCAACCCAACGAACTCGATGGGATTCCGCTCGAAGCCTTGGTTCCTCTGTTCTCACAGTTCGACCATCTGCTTCACAATTCCGAATATCTGGATCCCGAATCAACTACCATCCATTCCCCCGACTTGGCCGTGTCTGATTCTGGCATTCACAGAGGATTAAACTATTACACCCACTCAACCTCTTCCTCCTCAAGTCTACGATCACCAAGCTATCCCGGTCTTGAGCCTATCAAGATCCTTTCACCCTTGACCTTGGAACCTAAAGTTGACAATCTACACACTCCAACGGTCATCAATCCTCATCCGCACACACCCATCACCGCACCTTCTGCTTGGAGACTCTACACAACGAGGGACTCAGCCGCTGAAGCAATCCCATTACGAGACTCGGCTGATGACCTTATCCTGGGTTGCTCCGGTTTAATCAAGAGTGAATTACTCAATGATTGTAGGCATGCTATCACGATTGATACCATTGGTAGAATAGCTCTTTGGGATATCATCGGCTGTACTTGTAGAGGAATCTTCGACCCTGACGAGTTGGAACGAGAGCTTGATCACGCTTCTTCCATTGGGTCTTGTAAGTTTTCCTTTCTGGCAACAAATTGAAAAAAAGGTCAAAGAAAATGCTCATACACCTGACACATGAATATGGATCATGATAGCCGGATCCTCGGCCAACTTTGCTCCTAGTGAACTGTTGAAGTTGGTTAAGGAACGGATCGAGGGACAAGCGTCAATTGGAAACTGGTGCACGGTTGAGACCCAAACTGGTCTACTGACTGTCCATCTCGATGAAAGTAGATGCTTCGATGGTGAGGTCTACGCTGATGAAGCAGGGTTAAGTGAGGAAGTGTTAGGTCAGATGAAGGAAGACCATCGTCTCTCCTTGGGAAAATGGGCACTAAGAAACTTATTCGAAGGCTTTGTCAACCATCAAGCCCAACTTCGGCTCCGAAGTAAATCTCCTGCCACTGACTCCACCCCACCGACAAGTGCAATCCAAGCTCGAGGTGAAGTAGAATTGGATGAGCAGAAAACCTCTGAACAAAAGTCGATAGTCTTCCCTTCGCACCATTTCCCAGGGAAGCCGTTTGTTCCTCGCACGCCGGGAATGACCATCGCCCTCGCCACACCAGCTCTGACACCGGCCATTCTGCCGGATCTTAAAGCCATAATAGTGTCAAATGGCACGCCGAAGAACAATCCACAGGGCTGGGATTCAGTCTCTCATTCATCCGATTATTTCTCTCTTCCACGCTTAGTCGAGGCAGATGAAGAACAGCTAGGCAAGGGAGCGCTCACACCTGGTGGGCTTGATTCCAATACAGACGCAAGTAGCTCATACAGCTCATCACTCAATCCACCTCCTTCGAGACGGGCATCTCCTGCGCCGGCCAGCAACGACGGCCTTTCACGCGATGACAAGGCGCCATTGACAGATAGTCCTGCGGCCAGTTGGACTTCAACTACGACCAGCTCTAGTGCAGTCCAACCTAATTCCGCCAACATCTTCAGCCGCTTCAGGTCATTAGGTCGTGGCCAGAAACGGCGGAGTAGTCAAGATCCCACTGCCCCACCGGTAATCTCGAATCCGATTCCATACCGAGAAGACGGGGACCGAGCCGAACAAGATGGACAACGGCAGCTCCTGATGGAAAAAATCAAAGCACAACAAGCCCAGATGGTCCAAGGGATTCTCAGCCAGCCGTTTGAGCCATGTGGAATACTGGATGCACCCAAGTTGACTCTACCACCAGAAACAACGATCTTGATCTCGGAGCAAGAACCAGGATCCGGTACCTGGGAGGTCTCATATCGTGGGCTGGTTGCAACGACCGGTTTGGATTCGGAGATCTTGATGGACGTCTTGCCGGGTTGGTTGTTAAATTTCTTACTCGGGAATCGCGTCTCGACCAGAGAAGGTAGTTCTGCTGTCAAGGTCACATTTGTGTTACAGCCTGAAGGCGGAAGTGAAGCTGCTGGACTACCCGAGCTACCGAATGGGTGAGTCAAGCGAGTGTCATTCGGATGGGCCCACTGCTGAACTAATGTTTATCCATATCCACTCCTTTAGGAATGCCCGATTGACAGCATCCCGAGTCTTGCGAATGAAGAAGGTCGCAGCCTATGTTTCTCAAAAGCTAGAGTCCAGTCCCCCGAAAGTTGATGCGCATCATCCACCATCCTCCTCCCCCTCATCATCATCATCGAAGCCGAAGAGTGAGGTAGCTACCCAGCACAAGAACCATAAGTCGAATTCCAAGTCGGTCGGCTCAGCGGTATCTGCCAGCAGTTCAACAACGACCACCAGCAATACACATCCTCATCCTCATCATCCTCACCATCATCATCGACATCATAAAGGAGAAGCTCGTCACTCCCACTCTAAAAATGATGAACTTACACCCACTTCTTCTCCTTCGACACATCCTCAATATCCTTTTCCCATCGATGAAAATCAGATCGTCTTATCTTGTAATGGTCAAATCCTTCCACGTCCACTCACTCTTGGCGTCGTCAGGCAGTGGATCTGGGCCAAACCTGGTGACGTCATTATCCATTACAGACGCGACAAGCTTGGTTCTCCAAGTTGATTTTTTTGACTTCTTCCTTCATCGTCGTCGTCGTTCTTTTTTTTTTTTTTTGGTTTTACGCACATTGGTTTTGAATAACTGCATCATATGATCTTTTTGTTCATTATTCTTCGGGAGGGAGGAGCAAAATGTAGATTGATCTGTTACTTGTAATAATCATCATTGTTTTATTTTCATTTTCAGCTGTTCTTTGATCAATCTGTCTACCAATCCCTGAAATTACACATTTCAAGCAGATCATTACCAATCAACCAATGTTTATAGCTTCTGTACGTTCCCCTTCTCTTGTTTTTTCATACTTGACTTTTGGAGGTTGGCATGTTTGATTATGAATAGATTTTTGGGTGTTCAGTTTCACTTTGACTGAAAATTATACTCTAGATTACTTAGAAAAGAACGCTTACACAATGTTTAATTCTCTTTGGTTTTTATTGTTGTTGTGTGATTTATAATCTGTATGAATGTTTTTTTTATAGAAAAGTTCACGATTATGAGATAATCTTTTTTTTTACTTGTGCTTAAGAGGTGTGAAATCATTGGACCCTCATTAGGCCACTTCTTACTTCTAAACGCCTTCATGGTTAATTAGTTTTCGGTGAGTTGAATGAAACCAAACTTGTCTGAAATTATCCATTCGTAACATTTGTGTACACTACGGGCGCTGCATTTCGCAACTATTGCGAAACTGTTTCGGAATAGTTGCGCAACCTCCGCCTGCAGGGGAGGACGTCGCCGACCTTGGTCCTGGTGAGTTACGCAATCCCTTGCGAAAGGGATTGCGAAAGTCTTGCGTCCCTTGCGAAAGGGATTCCAAAGGTATTGCGAAAGACTTTCGAAATGCTTTCGAAAGTATTGCGCAAAAAATTTCGCAATCCCAACCTTTTGCATTTTGTGTGAATCTCATCTTTGCAATGATTGCGAAAGAGTTTCGCAGTGATTTCGCAATACTTGCGTAAGCCACTGGAATCTTTCGCAACTTTTTCACAACTTTTACAATGCTTGTGCACTTGGCCTTCTTGCTCAGTTGCCAGCATAGCTTTTTCATAATGCTGATACTTATTATAGAGAACAAAAATAAGAAAAATCTTGGATTGCTTCTATACAGAATAGGACAGTAATAAACATTTAGATCGGCTCAATTGATCAAGAGGAAAAAAAATATGAACAGAAATGGAAGATTAGATTGGCTGAAGAAAACTTCAAATTGGAGGACTGTGAGGCGCGGGTCAGCAAGCTTGAACAGGATTGGATCATCATCAGTGGGCAGAGTGATGCCCAGGAGGAAGCTGGAAGAACAACAGAAAGCGATCCAGACAGCCAAGGAGAAAGTCAGAAAATACAAAGCCCAAGAACGCGCCGAGTGGGCGGACTTGATCAAAGAAAACCAAAACAAGTTCAAGAGTCCTCATGAGTTTTTCAGGTATCTCGGCGGGAAGAAAATTGAGAAGCCTGATAGGGTTCCATGGTGTTTGAAACCAAGAGCCATGATTGGATCCAGTCGAAGTCAAACAGGCCATCCAAAGCTTCATGTCAGAAGGCTTGAAGGCCAAGAATGTGGTGTTGGATAAGGAAAGAGAAAAAAAGGTCAACAGAGCTGCAAAATCGATCGAGAGTCAAAGGAAAGGGAAGGGGAATTCCTATGAGATGAGATGAGAAAAGATGTGGGAGGAGGGAGGGGGGAGGATGGTAGCAGAGATGCATTAAAAACCAAAACCTCTCAGAGTCCGATCGGCTTTGGCGGCCAAGGAAGGCTGACTTTGACTTGAGAGACTTGAGAAACCGGTGTCTTGAATCTTCGCAAGATTTTGCGAAAGATTTGCAAATGGTTTGCGAAAGATCCGTAAAAATTGCGAAGCAAGTTGCGAAAGGTTTCTCAAGGTTTTGATCCGGCTCAATCACCAAACATTCCCGAATTTTTCCTAACCCGAACCCTAAAATCCAGATTAGCCAGCTTTAGCTAACTATGATGAGGGGGACGCTGGCTGTTTGCACGTCGACTGGAAATGAGGTCCTGGGCGTCACCTGGAACGGGGTGAAACAAATATCCAAATACTTGTTGTCCTCTCTAACGACAAAGCTCCATGTACCCTCCGACGGG